CTACAGCACTTTAAGTGGTGTCAAACTGCATTATTTCTACAGTGTAGACGCGCCCTTTGAAAAATAAGAGAGCACTCTTGCATATTGGAACCGATTGCTGTAGATCGGATTTTAAAGATATTTCCAGACACTATAAAGATGGGAAAATAGAATAACGCTGAATTGAGGATCGGAGGCTTGGATGCTATAATCTACTGTAGATTTGCGAAATGCTTTTGGACAAAGTGCGATGCTTCCACTTCAGCTTTTCCCCGACCCTCCTTTGCAAGATTGTTGTGAAGAGTATTTAGCATGTGTGACATATTTTCAGGGCCTTATAAAATAGAGAAAACCTTATTTGTTTGCTTATTTATAGGTTTCTTTTCTTTGGAGATTTCGGACTGATGCACAGTATTTTTGGAGAGAGATTGTAATGCAAAATGCAGCATTTATATAATTTGTAAAAGTAGTTAGTAGGTTGAACTACATAAAGGAAGTTGGTAAAAATAAGTAAATTTTCAGCATAAATCTAAAAAGTACAAGTGATTGGAGAATCACTGTACAGTCAGCCCTCTGTATCCATGGGTTCTTTATCCGCAAATTCAACCATCCATGGCTTGAAAATATTAAAAATATATACACTATATACATTCCAAAAAAGCAAACCTTGATTTTGCCATGTTATATAAGGGGCACCATTTTACTATGCCATTGTATTTAATGGGATTTGAGCATCCACAGTGGGTTCTGGAACCAAATCCCAGTGGATACCAAGGGCCCGTTGTAGTGTTGTTGTTGTTATTATTATTGTGTAATTTCAAGTTGTTCCTGACTTATGGCAACCCTAAGGCAGGGGTTTTTCTTGGCAAGATTTATTTAGAGGGGGTTGTCTTTCCCTTCCTCTGAGGCTGAGAGAGTGTGGCTTGTCCATGGTCATTCAGTGGGTTTCCGTGGCCGAATGAGGATTTTGAACCCTGTTCTTCATAGTCATAGCCCAGTCTCCAAACCATTATGCCATTAACACTATTGTTAATTTGTAGTGGAGACAGCATGCAGTGGTCCCCAAACTTTGCCCTTAAAGGGATTTTGGGCTTCAACTCCCAGAATCCCAGACAGACTATTCGCCAACTTGGCTGAGGCTTCTGGGAAATGAAGTCCAAAATCCCTTAAAGGGCACAGTTTGGGAACCACTGTAAGGGTGCATCTACACAGAAAAAATAATACAGTTTCACACCACTTTGAGTGTTGTAGCTCACAAAATCTTGGGATTTATAATTTTTGTGAGGTATTAGCACTCTTTGCAGAAAAGGCTAAAGACCTTGTAAAACTACCATAGGATGAAGCTACAGCAAATAAGTGCTATGAAACTGCATTATTTCTAAAGTATATAGATGCACCATAAGACTCAAGGAAATCAGGTTTCCACTTAGCCATAGAAACCCAATGAGAAACCCAGCCCCAGAAGAAGACAATGGCAGACTACCTCTGCATCATAAGGATGCTGTAGAAATAATGCAGTTTGACCCCACTTTAATTCCCGTAGCTCCATCCTATGGAATCCGTTGATTTGTAATTTTGCAAGGTCTTCAGCCTTTTATGCCAAAGAGTGCCATTGCCTCACCAAACTACAAATCCCAAGCTTCTGTAGGATGCAGCCATGGCAGTTAAAGTGGTGTGAAACTGCATTATTTCTGTAGTGTAGATGTAGCCTGTATCCTGCCAAGAAAACCCTAGAATAGAGTCACCAGAAGTTAGAGCTGACCTGGAGGCAGATAACAACAAACTAGTAGTGGTAGATATTTTGTGATCTTTGGATTTTGCATATTGTATTCATTTAGTTGTGTAATCCCGCCTCGATCCGTAGGGAGAGGCGGGAAATATAAATTATTATTATTACTATTATTATTATTATTATTATCATCATCATCATTATTATTTGGAAACAGGGCAAATCAGTGTTGCTCACATTGAAACAGTCACTGGGGGTGGGGGAATTTGTGTGCAATTTACCCGCAGAATTGGCTTTCTAGTGTACCGTTTTCACCTGTCCTGCAAGAGCCACCTCAATCTGCTGCAGCAAAAACTATAATAAAGCATCTCCTGATGCCTTTTGGAAGTGTTAATGAGCTGATGCTACCATGCCTGTGTTAACACAGGTTACTGCTATCAGGAAAGGTTATTGGACACCCTTGACTTTTTAATTGAGTTGTCACAAACTTTGGATTTTCATTGCTGCTGAAAGCTGCTATTTGCATTTTTTCCCTTCTGTGTGTGCCGGCTTCAAATAGTGGAGAACGTTTCATGCATCTGTCAAAGTGAACTCTGGATCATCCGTATCTTTTTGATGCACACTGGATGCTGTATTGCTCTTATCTATACTATGATGGGTGGCCCACGGAGTGTCACAACATCACCCATCTTTTAGCTAGCTGGTTCCCCTTGGTAGCCCTTATTTTGTGGGAATATTATTTAGGATAATATCATTTATATCCCACCTTCCCCAGCCCTAGAACTCAAGGCAAGTTACAAAAGTTGAAACAGGTGCAGGGAGAAGTATATATCATGCAGAAATTAAAGTACAGCAGGCCCTGGCTAATCTGACAGGTTAGGGACCAGGAGACTGTCAGAAAGTGGAATTGGATGAAAAAGTGGAATCCAGGAGATTTTTTTAAGCTTGCAAATGCATGCTGGCCACTAAAAGCAAAAACAACATACTATATATCACCTTTGAATGTGTGCAAAAACTAAATTAATACACTACAGAGAGAGAGTGTGTGTGTAATGATTTGAGTGCGAACCCAAAAGAAGTTCACGAACCCAGGATAAAATGGGAACAACAAACCCAATATGCATCAGTGTAGTGAACTGCATCTCCTCGGGACCAAAAAAATGAGTGTGAATGCCCCCTTGGACACCCTTCTCCAAGCTAAGACATCTTCCAGTAGTTGAGAGGATTGCTTCAAAAGGTGGTACCCTCTCCTTTGATGGAAATTTTAAAACAGGTTAAATGGCTACCCATCAGGGATGTTAATGTTATTGCCATTTGTTGGCACGATTTTCTTTGTCACAGGATTTTCTTGGCAAGATTTCTCCAGAGGGTTTTTTGCCTTTGCTTTCCTGTGAGGCTGAGAGAGTGTGACTTGCCGAAGTTTGCCCACTGGGCTTCCATGACTGAGCAGGAATTTGAACCCTGTTTTCCAGAGTCGTCATCCAGTGCTCAGACCACTACACCATGCTGCCACTTACTAGTTAACTAAAGATAAGACTAAGATAAACATTGATGTCCTGTAGTAACACAAGTCCCAGCCTGTCTTTTGGGATTGGAGCTCCCAAGAAACCCCCTCCCCCAGCACACTGGATGGGGGGATTCTGGGCTATGTAGTCCAAAAAAGTATTTCCTTCTCTCCCCAGGTCTCCCTGCAATCTCACAGTGTAAAGCAGGGGTAGGCAACCTTTCCCCTTTAAGGGCCAAGGAGGGACTTCAGCTCCCAGAAGCCTCAGCCATGTTGGCCTATAATAGTCCCATGTTGGCCAATGGCTCCTGGGATTCTGGGAGCTGAAGTCCCTCGGCCCTTAAAGAGAAAGGTTGCCTACCCCTGGTGTAAAGGGTGCATGAAGAGAAAAAAAGAGGACTGGGATTAGAAGTGAGCTAAAATTATCATGGGGTGTCAGAAGATAAAAGGAGTATCTTGTCTAGTTCTTTCATAGATGCCCTTCCAAGTCATAGTTGTCTTCTGATTTGTTTTGACTAGTTTCAGTTGAAAGAAGCCTGCACAATAATAACTCTTTCGTCCTGTGGATTTGTGGGATCTGTAGTTTGGTGAGGTACTTGGAATCCTCTCTACAGACCCTCCACAACCTACAGAAAAGTTAAAAGTTGTGTCACTCTGCCATAATTGTGCATTGCCTATACAGAGAATTGACAGATCCATTAATTTACTTCAGAAAAGGCACAGAGGAGGCTAAGTGGAACAACATCTAAAGGACAAATATAACTTCTGAATAAGTCTGCGTTTGCAGTTTTTCGCTTGTAGAAAAGAAGCTAGACCTGTGTATTTTGCTTCCAGCAAAGTGTGAAGAGGCCCCCGAAAGACCAACAAACTGCTCTATCCTAACATCAGCTTTCATTAGGCAAGTGTTTATTGTAGGCATTTATACTTTGCTCTTCCACAAATCCCTAGGGTGGCATTAATGTCTTTCAGGGGCTGATTGAGTCCATGGCTTTACTTCTACTTAACAACTACACATCCTTTCCTTCTCTCCTCAACTCCCAGACCAATCTTGTTA